ACTTTATCATTTTGTGTGCGTAGATTTCCAATCATATAAATGTTATTTTTCTACTCAGTTCTTCGTTTTGAAGATCCATCCATGCTGCTACATCACACCAAGTCTGGAACTTCCGCCTGCTGTGTGGTGTCCATGCTGAGCCTGCGCACTTTACCTGTCCGTGCGTGGAAGACACACGGATTGCTCCCTGCCAGTACAGATCATGCTTCTGTAAAACCTAACTTCACACAGGTCCCCTTAAGGATCTGTGTGAGAAGTTCCCAGGGACATATAACCAGGAGTGAAGCATCCACATCATGAGGCCTGAGCCCACTCAATTTGGGTAGGTAGCCGAATTAGTTTTCTAGGGCTGCCGTGACAAAGTACCACAGACTGGGTGGATTAAACAACAGAAATTTATTTCCTCACCGTTCTGGAGGCTGGAGGTTGGCGAGCAAGATGTCGGTAGGGTTGGCGTCTTCTGAGGTTTCTCTCCTCGGCTTGCAGATGGTTGCCTTCTCTGTACCTCCCAATGCACACACGTTGAGGTACTGGGGTAGGGGTTAGGGCTTCAACATATGCATTTGGGGAGGGCACTGTTCAGCCCACGACAGGGGCACTGCCTTTCAGACTGGCTGTGCATGAAGTCCTATAACCACTCACTCCCTCCAACATTCGGTGCTTCCTAAGTGTTGCCAAACTAATAGGCACAAGGTGACATCTTACTGCTGTTTTAATAGGTACTTCTCTGTTATTTCTAATGATTTTACACATCTTCCTATGCTTATTAGCTTTTTGGGTTTTCTCTTCTGAAAACTGTTCATTGTTCTACTGAGGTTGCTGTCTTTCTTGCTGACTTACGGGAACTGATTGTACATTATTGGCTTCAGACATTCTAAGTACCTTTTCCCACTCATTTTCCCCGTGAAATCTTTATTTGTATGCAACCAAATTCATCAATCATTTTGCCTTAAGCGTTGTATCTGTAACATTTTTATTTAAGAGCACTTTCCCATCCTTGGTCACAGAGATACTTTCCTTCATGTTCTTCAATGAACTTTATCGTTTTTGCCTCGCACATCCGACCCAGTGACCTCTTGGAGCAGACACCACAGAATTAGGCAGCACTTCCCTGCCAGGCGCAGCCACAGAGACCCCTTCCTCTCTGAGCCTCACTCCTCCACTGGCACTGCTCAAGGATGCTTGGCAGTTGTCTGCTCCCTGGCCCCGTCAGGAGGTAGAGCCCAAGAAAAAGGAAGGCAACTCCGTAGCCTGAACCGGCACCCGGCCCTCCTGGAGCCAGAAGGGCATCTTTCATGGGCCAAGATCCCCCTTCACTCTTTGTGGTGCCGCCGATGGCACACAGTACCTTGTCAACAAGGAGGTGGAACCAGGTGGTGGCCAAAGGCTCTGCTAACTCCCAAATCCCAAAACCGGTAACTTAAGAGTCTACTTTGGAAGTCTCTGCCCTCCCCCAATCAGGACAGACGGTGGAGAGGAGCTTGGACCATGCATTCCCCACCGCGCCTCAAATATGGGCAGAAAATTGGTGCATCTGTTTCCATTCTGGGAACTTCGTCAGCTGCTTACAGGGAGGACCTCTGTAAAAGGGTGCAGTCCCTTGGGCCCCGAGCCTGACGACCGGCTGGCAGCTGCGCCTCCTGCTGGCCATTCTGTGGTGGGGCTGGTCCTGGGAGATGGAACTCAATGGTCCCTCAGAGCACGGCCAGGAGCTCAGAGCCTAGAGCAGGGCAAATGCCCGCTCACAGGCACACAGATAAGCAGGGGCAGAGCCTGCATAGAAGGCGGGCCTCCCAGCCCCCAGGGCTGCTCTGTGACTGCTATGTTGGCTTTTCCAAGGTCTTTCCTGGACCCACAATCGCTTTCCAGAGTCTGGGGTTGGTGCTAAGGACTGAGGCCTGGCACCTGTCTAGACATTGGAGACGAGGATGTGAATTCCACTTCTTTCAACACCCCCCGCTCCATGACGCCAGGCCCACATCACACCCTCTAGGAAAACGGACCCAAAACTCAAAATTTTTTACACAAATAACACACAACGTAATAAGCACCTTAGATTTATTCTCCTCTCACTTCTGAAGCCATGTTATTTAATTTATATATACATGGTATATAAATGGCTATACAATATTCTTTACATATATTAACACGAGTTTAGGCTTTACTACTGTGTGAGAGTTTGTTAAAACATACCCATCATTTATTCAAAATAGATCTTTGTTATTACATGAAAACAGTAAGAAGCTTGTACAACATGGATAGCAAGCATTCAAAACGCATATGTGAAGGAAATGGTTTTGCCCTGGCTAAATCAGTCTCAATCTTTTACGCTCTTAGTAGAAAAGTCTATTAAATGAAACAGAATTCGGGGAAGGGGGGGTCAAGTCGTACAAATAATTCATTAAATATACTTCTGAAGTAACCCCAGAATCACAGAAGGGTTAAAGAAGGTCACACGTACCAAGCACAGGTTAGAAGAACAGAATGGATTTGATAATTTGACCCGAAATAAAAGGCGCTTGTGAGCCGCGGCTCTGCCATCAGCACACACGGACAGATGTTTCCATATCCGGCCATTCCCAGGTCTTACTGACAAGCCCTTTTCCACAGGTTCCCTGCCAAGACGTTTCCCCAGCAACCGGGGTCTGACATCACTGCTCCCAGACGGGAGACTCAGAGCTCTCCCCATTTGGCTCAGGGATGGACTTGAGGTTTGGTTCGACCAGCAGAACCAGCCTCCCTGGATGCCGGAGGGCCCAATGCCAATGGTAGCAAGAGCTCTGTGACTGGAGGGCAAGAGGCACGTTCAGGGGGGAGAAAGAGAGGTCACCACCTTTCTAGACTGGAAGACTGAGCCCATTTACCTAGCAGGATCATAAAAGGCCTGTCTTTGTAAAACCTGGAAGACCCGGCTGCACTGTGCTGCGTAAAGTGTGAACTTCCTCTCACCGGGTGAAAGCCTTTTTCCTCCTGCACGTGAACAGGGGATTCACCCAGTATTCTCCTCCACTAGGCTTTTCTCCTCATGACAGCATGCCGAGGGAGTAGTGGTTACCACCGCTTCCCAGCTGAGGACCCTGTCCCTGCGGGCAGAACCTGCCCACAGTGGCAGGCCTGAGCAGGAGAGTCAAGTCTCTCTTCCTCTACCATTGTTCACACTCACAGAGCACAGTGGAGCTTCCCTGTGCCCGGGCAGGATTCTGTGGAGGAACGTTTGAAATGTGAGCAACACCAGAGCGGGGTGCACATCTGGTCCCTGTAAACACTCCCATGCCTGCCGGGCCCCACTTGCGCTGCCCCGTGCACGCACAACAGCAGTCTCCTGAGGGCCACCTGCCCTGCATGTTACAGTGAGTGGCCGATTCCTTCAAGGAAAAGCAAACAGCAGCCCTGGATGAAGGTGCAGCACGTGCCCCCGACACGCCAACTGCTTGAGGGCGGCTGCTTGAGGGCCCCCAGCTCTGCTCCTCACCTGTCTCCTGCTTGCTGCACCCCAAACAGCCGGCCCTCCTGGCTGTCGTCTTTGCCGACCCTGGCAGTGCTGACCGCCAAAGTGCTGTTGCCCTCCGAGCCCCGACTCCCAACTGTGTGCTGCAGCTCCCGGGGGCACGGAGGAAGAGGGCCGGGCCTCAGTGCACTCTGCTCCGCCCCTGAGCTCCTGTACCCACCTTATCAACTACAGTGAAAGACGGCTTTCCCCACCCCTCCAAAGATTCCAGTTTCAGCCTCTGTTTCCAGGGCTGCAATGTGTGGGACAGACACGGAAAGAGGCAGAAGAGTCCTGGAGAATAGGGGCACCTAGGAAAATAACAGGGAGCTCAAGGTGAGGTGACAGAAATGAGATTGTTTTAATTTCAGCACTCCTCCTAACACCCTTTTTCCAACTCCTTAAGGAATTTTAAAAGGTTGCTTCACAATGCCTGTAACACAGACCACAGGGGTGCAAGCCTGAGAAGCAAAACCGGGAGCCTCCGGTCACATTCCTCCCACCACCAGCAGAGGGGCCTCTAGTACTGAGAGGTAATGCCACCCCCAAATACACCCCTGATTGTCTCCTCCCAGGAAAAAGAAACTCAGGAATGATCCTTATCACAGTAAGGCTACCCTAGGGAAATGAAACCAGAGTCGACGTGTTTCTCTCACCTGCATACTTGAGGAAGGGAAAACCCTGTGGGCCTTTGCCCCATGGTTGGGAAACCCTGGCCAAGAGCACTGAGCCACATTCCAAGCCCTATACGGGAGATGGGAATAATGCACTCCGACGTTCAAAGATCTTGCAGTATCTGATCCCAGAAGGCACTTTTAAGGTTTGTTTTCAACATTATTTCAACTATTCCCAGATCCACCCCTGCGAGGTTGGTTGGGCAGGTAGCATTGAACCATTGGGAAAATAAAGTGCGAGAACAGCAATGAGTCCGTGGGGTAGTGAGGATAACTCCTGCGACGTGGAGCCACCTTTCTGGCATCAAGGATGACACAAGGGGCCACAAAACTCCAAGCCTGAACCAGGTCAACCCTGAGCTGGGATCTCCCTTGGACAAAATCCCCAGAACTACTTCTCTGTCATTTGTCTCTTCCTCCAGTGAATGAGGCTTCTTTTGGCTGGGTTCCAGGTGAACAATGTTTATGTGGTTATTATTTTGTACTATTTGTCCAGTGCATCTTTTCCCTCTCATTTGCAAAAACCGATCTGAAACCCCATGTAGATGTTAACTGATGAAAACCACATTCAGCCAAGTGTAGACAACATCTCCACCAGTGCAGGAAGTATTCACCAGGAGGGCCTACTCTTCAGGATAGTTCTCTACTGCCAGGTATGGATCACAGATTCTGCCCCCGAGAGCATCTGGGGTATAGGGCTACACGGCAATAACACATGAGCTCAAAAAATATTAATAACTCACTTATAGGCTGTGCTTACCAACGTTTAAAGCCTTTTTTTTCTTTTTTCTTTTCTTTTTTTTTTTTTGGTACTTCTAATGTACAAAGACTTCTCTTCCCTCCTTGGCTTTCCATTCTATTTTACCATCTCTTCAAAATTATCTCCCAGAGAGCCTGAAGATTCGCCTGCTGGGTATGCAGAAAATTACGAAGATGCAACACTGATAGAGTGACAACTGTGCAGTTGACATCTGAGGATGTTGCCAATATAACTTTCATATCAAGATATTTTGATTAAAAACAGAAAATTGTATTATAAGAAAATTACTGTAGCATCATTTTCCCAACAGTTTCCAGTTACATAAACTTGTTTTTCTTAACCTGACACCAAGGTAGCTCAGTAACAATGCACTACCAGTAACAACCAAGTACAACTGAGTTCCCTAAAATAATATTCTTGCTTTCCCTACGTACTCAATAATTCTTGCGAAGCTTTTCAACTTTTAAGATCAAAGTAGGATTATTTTAATTTATCAAGACCACATAATTCAACCCAAAATATCCCACGCAACTGTCAGTGAGCTATTCAGATTCTAGACTTCTACCAAGAACAATCCAAAGAGGGGCGCTTGGGTGACTCAGTCGATTAAGCGTTCGACTTTAGATCAGGTCATGATCTCACCGCTTGTGAGTTCGAGCCCCACATCGGGCTCTGTGCTGACAGCTCAGAGCCTGGAGCCTGCTTCAGATTCTGTGTCTCCCTCTCTCCCTGCCCCTTTCCTGCTCACGCTCTGTCTCTTCCAAAAATAAAATAAACATTAAAAAAAAAAAAATCAACAATCCAGAGGGCAAACTCCTGAAATGGCCTCCTAAATGTACTGGACAACCCAGGCTGAACTTTCTGGAGACCAAAAGGATCTTATACAGAGCCTCTTTTTGGACAACTGTGATCAATCACTATTTTAACAGAGAGAAGAAAAGTAACTTTTCAGGGCATGGGGTTTATTATATCCTTATCCTTATGAAGCTTGAAAAAAAGTTAACACCTCCTTAACTCCTGTTCATAAAGAACGAGGCCCTCCATCTAATTAAGATGACTGGAAGAGGGGTAGAGGAGTAATTAACTCAGGAGGTCTTCTGGGAACAGGTACACAGGGTCAGGCATTCATCATCATTAAGATGACAGGCACTCAGCTGCCATGTACAAGGCTGATGACAAGGGTTTTTTTGTTTTTTGTTTTTTTACTACAACCTGCATCTGTAAGGTGCCACTGTGTGAATCCATGTGACTCACCTACTCCTGTCTGTGGCCCCACCGCAAAGAACCCTGAAATTCTCGGGCTCATAAGCTCATCCTCATGAGCTTATGATCCAGTAGCACTGGTTACTCAATTTTTTAAATATTCAGATATACCCTGCAGACAAATACAAAACTTTTCTGTGCCCACGCAGTCCCACCACCATAAAAAGTTATATACAAATTAAATAAACTCGGCTTTCTTAACCATTTTCTCAGCTTGAGTTTGTCCTTTCCCCAAATGAAGATAAGTTCAATTTATATCCAAAATACATTTAAATATTCTAAAGGTATCATATCAGACCTAAGTTATCAAAAAATGTAAACAAAATTTATCTAGCTTATACTTATGAACCATATTTTAAAATGTTGAATTCACCCTGTATTGACCCTCTACAAAAAACTAACCACGTCCCATTTAGACTGAAAAGCTGATGTGGATTTTAAAGTGGTTCCTCAGAGACAACCGCCAGTTACTAAAGCTAGTGTTATTGAATCTAGTGGTTTATTGCATCATTCAATTTAAAAGACCAAAATAATTCCATTCTGATCTTCTAATAATGCTCCTTCTGAATGAGCCCCCAGATTCTGCTGTCCTAAGTAAATGTGCTGAACTGGAGATTCCGCCATGATGCCCAGCACAAAACTGGGGCTGGGGCGACCTCGTGTTTTCCATCGCTCCTGTTAAAAATCCCCAACTTTCGGTATCACTCTGGTTTGGTTGCAAGGAACTTCAAGGATGGAAACTCGAGGTGAAGTCGAGAAGCAAAAAGGGAAACAGAGGTGACTCTCACAAGAAAACGAAAGGATCCATTCATCACATGATGTCATCTTCATACTCCATAGTCAGACTGCTTCTCCTGAAGCTGCCTGGTCAGTATCTGATATGAAGACAGAAAAGCCACTCCTATGTGGAAAAGGATTTGCCAGAGGTTCCTTAGCCCATGCAGGTACATGTTGCCCAGGCAGATAAAGAGCAGCATCAGCACCACCTTCACAGTCCTGGCTGGACTGTAGAACAGGTACAAATAACACTGAAATGACACCATAAGAGGCAGTCCAGTCAGAGAGGAGAAAACAGCCACAGGTCCGATGCAGGACTCACTTCCTACACCTGCACACACAGTGTCATCTCACACATAGTAGCTCATTAAACTGAAATCATGACAATGGAGCCCGGCCTTGCCAGGTGAGCTGCTGTTAATCAAATCACTGGATGAAAGTGGAGATCCAGAAGAGACAAGAAAAGTGGAACAGATGTCACCGGGGGAATTAGAACATGACACTCTTGAAAACATTTAAGAACTACAGACAGAAATGCCCAGGCTGTGGGCTGTGGAAAAAGAAGAGGTGCAGGTAAGGGGAAGAGAGTCAGGCCAAAGACACCCCAACAAGAACGGCTGGTCTCCAACTGGACTTTTCCTTCCAGGGAGTCATGACAGGTAGGAAAGCCAGTAAAAGAAGCTATGCTTTTATTATTTGTTTTTCCTGAGTTCCAATGACATCAGGGACCAATGTTCCCTAGACATCCTCCTTATCGTGTCTTCAAAAGCATCTCTGACACAGGGAAAGGTCTCACAGCAGGGAGGGGGACTAACATTTTGTGTAGGGCATTCACCCAGAAAAGAGGCCATTCTTGTTCTACAAAAGCTAAAAGTAACTTTTTGGTTCAATGTTTAAAAAAAAACAAAAAGCACATTCTCAAAACACAGAGCAGTTCAACAAAGGCTCAAGCTCCAGTGGGAGGGAAAGAGTTCCCCACTGAAAGAGCTACCCAAGTAAGAATGCAGTTGGGGGAACGAAGGCCAAAGTGCAAGATCCCTGCAGCCCTGGAATACAGGCTCTCGGTACCTCAAATGGCAACACTCGAGGCTTGGGACACTTGATTTCTAAAAAATGAGTGCATTTTTGGTCCTGGGTTGAATATTTCTTTTCCCACAATCATGTCACTCTTAAAAAATAGACCATTCTGGGATGTATGTGGAAGAGAGAAGAAGCGTTCTTTGAGAAAATAAATTTTAATTGAAAGGAAAATAAAAAAAAAAAAAAAGCTTAAGAATGTAGACAAAGTACTAAAATCTGAGCCTCTATGGAGGATGGGGAAAGAAAATTACAGGTTTTTTGTTGTTTTTTTTTTTTTACTAGAATTAACTCTACCTACAGAGGGTTCAAAAGCTCCATTTTACTCTGCCCTGTAAGTATGCAGCTTATTTGAAAATAACTAAACAGTAACCGGGGGCGCCTGGGTGGCTCAGTCGGTTAAGCAGCTCAGGTCACGATCTCGAGGTTCATGAGTTCAAGCTCTGCGTTGAGCTCCATGCTAACAGCTCAGAACCTGGAGCCTGCTTCAAATTCCGTGTCTCCCTCTCTCTCTCTCTGCCCCTCCCCACTCACACCCTGTCTCTCTCTCCCAAAAACAAATAAATCTTTTTAAAAATCTGAAAGTAACTAAACAGTAACCAATAGTAAAAACCCACTAGTTAATGTTGTAATGTTTGCCTCGTTTCCTAACGACAGATTTGAGTCAGATGGTATGACCATTAAAAAAAAAAGTTTTTGGGGCGCCTGGTGGCTCAGTCGGTTGAGCGGCCAACTTCGGCTTAGGTCATGATCTCGCGGTCCGTGAGTTCGAGCCCCGCGTCAGGCTCTGTGCTGACGGCTCGGAGTCTGGAGCCTGCTTCAGATTCTGTGTCTCCCTCTCTCTGACCCTCCCCCGTTCATGCTCTGTCTCTCTCTGTCTCAAGAATAAATAAACGTTAAAAAAAAAAAAAAAGTTTTTACCTAGTCTTGCATTTAAACAACACACACGCACACGCACGCACATGCAGTTGTCACTTCTGCAGGAGGACATTTCTATACTTGGACTGCCGTGACACTAAGCAACACCCTGCCTCACATTAGTCAGGTAACCCAATCCCCACAGCACTCTCATCTTTCCCTTCTTGAAATGTGAGTCCCAAAATTCCTGGCTTCTGTTCAGCCGTTGTGAAAGGCTCTGCAGCCTAGGGCAAATGGCTTTCCCTTTGAGTCCAATGCTGTTCCTTTGTAAAACGAGAGGACTGGACAGGATGGGCCTAGCGTGGTTCCACTAAGGGCCTGTTATTCCGTGACAGGCCTTGGTGGAACAAAATCACATCTAGAAATAAGCTGATGGTCCCAACAGAAGAACAAAATAAGGTCACGGGTTCAACCCACTCAAAATATCAATGTTTCACCCACCTGGAAAATACAGGCTACAAAAGGAATAAGAAAAGCCAGAATAGTTCCAATTTCCTCGTGGGCAACCTAAAACAAATGTAAGAAACAGGAGAAAAGGAATATTCCGATGAAAGGAAAAACGATGACATGAAGCTCTTCACACCTCATTGGGTCTGGTTTGGTTGATAATGCAAAATCCCTGACTGGGACAGAGCACCCTGTTTCTATACCAGAACCGGGGTTGACATGCAACTGTTTCCAACAGCCTGGACACACCATGTGCCCTCCTGTCCCCGAGCATCTGTACGAAGCCCCCAGGCTGCAATGCCCCCCAACACTACTGCCTCTCAAAATCCACTAATTTGTCAGCACTAAGCTTTCCCTAATTCTGCATTCTTCAGGTACTGCCACCTCCTTAGTGATGTCACCACACTCTACTTTGTGCCCCATCTTAACTGTCTTGTCGGACATGTAACTGTTCTAGTGCGTACAGACGCTTGGTAAGTATCTGGGCATGGATAATCATAAAAAATAAGAGTAGGAAACAGCACCCATCAGCCAAAGACAGGACGCAGTAACAGGTGGTCACCACTCTTACAGCACAGGCCTGCTGCCACTCTCCACACAGGTCTGTCTACATTAGTCTCCTGAGAGCAACACCAGCCATGCTTCAGCCTTTACTACCGCAGTGATGGTGTGGGCACGATGGCTCTATTTTTAAATGAGGTATCTATCTGTTTATGCCTACAGTGATTCTATGCTTTTTCAAAGTGTTTTAAATACTTCAAAATTTAAAAAAATATTTTAAGAGCCCTGACATAGAGAGTTGCTTTGATTTAAGCAGCCTGGCAAACCAACTGCCTAATGATACAGTTCTCTGACAAAGACATAGGGAGGTGGCATCTTGCTTGATATAAATCAGACTAGGAGGCAACTTTTTAACAGGCAGAAACAGCCTGAACCTCAGAGGCTGAGAATCAGATTTGCTCTTGACGAGCAATCAGGACCCTGGGGTGACTCCTGGGGCCCAAGGATGTCCCTGTAGCAAACTATTTCTCACCAAGTCCCCGACAGGCCCCTTTGGCTTCTTGGGACAACAGACACAAAAGAGCAAGTTTTTTTATTTGTTCAATTTACTTAAAGAATAGACTTTAAAATAAAAATTGTATTTTAATTAAACAATTGTTAAAACCTTTGTACATAATAACCTTACGAATAAAGTGTCTCCCCCATCAGTTTCTGCCATCATAGGTCCTTCAATTTAAACTATAAAAACAAAGGTTACCTGTAGAGAATGTTCTGCGAGGTGAATCCCACGGATGAGGTTCAGAGCAGCACACATGATGTTGAGAATGAGCGAAAGGACACCCAGGGCTGTCACTGGCTCCATTCGGAAATTAGGAGCTTCACAATTAAAAAAAATAAGTGTCTAGTGAAAATAATTTCTATATGAAAGAAAAATAAACAAAGACATTAACTAGACCTCCACTAATGATAGGCTCATTATGTTAAACACAGAATAACAAACATATTAATTAAAAGCAGCTGCTGTTAGACGGCAAAAAGGCAAGAAATGGAGGACAGAATGGATCTGGGAATCTGAAGTGAGTTTCTTTTGGCACGAGGACTGTCTCTGAGTTAAGCACAGGTTTTTCAAGGCCTGATTTTCTTTCTACTTAAAGCAGTGGTTCTCAGAGAGGAGCGATTAGCCCCTCAGTGGGGAACTGGCAATGCCTAGAGATATTTGGGGTTGTCAAAACTGCAAACAGGGTATTACTGGCACCTAGTGGGCCACGAATGCATCTAAGCATCCTACAATGTACAAGACAAGCCCCTCACAACAAAAAATTATCCAGTACAAAATGTCAGTATGGCTTAGGCTGAGAAAACCTGATGTAAAGCAATTTATGGCTTTATTTGTAAATTGATTGTCAAACTGACAGCATTTCTATCAACTCTCAGCTTCTAAACAAGGACAGTATTCAGGGACTCGTGGGCTTCCGGGGCAATGTGCAGCAAATGCAGTTTTTTAAATTCTAAAATAATTGGGAAGAGGAGGTAAAAACACTGATTATTTGAGCCACAATCTGTTTCTGGAACTCTAGACCAAATGATCATTCTCTCTTCAGAGATAACTACCAAGACCGATTCTGGTTCACACTATTAAATGGTGACACCCTGCCCCATTCTCTTAGTATGATCTTTTAAATCATCCCTTCTGGTCCTTACATTTCCCACATACACACACATGCGCACACACATGCACACACACAAGTATCTAGCCACAACCCAAGGGATGCCTAGTGTTAGTGTGTTAGAGTTTCCACTGAGCTTCCAAAGCTCCTGTTAGAACAGAACATGCTACCTGTAAAGATTCTAGCCTCAGGACAATAGGGTGGGTCAAACCACAGTAAAATGTCCTAGAAAGATAAGCAAGTTGATGTTTTCTGGATTTTACTCCTCTTGTCTAAGTGGTTGAAAAACAAAATACATTACAGAGCCACCCCATTTTTATATACGGCAAAAGAAAAAGCTTGTGGCTCAATTACCTTCTACGAAAGTTAAGTTCAATCCTAGTATAAATTACACGTTACTGATTGGCATAAAAGCCAATCCAGGAATGTATTTGGTTGAAATTTAAATAGATTAAATCAAAACACAAAGTTAAGCCAAAAAGGTGAACATTAAGGAAAAAAAAATTTTTGTAATGTTTATTTTTGAGAGAGAGAGAGACAGAGAGACAGAGCACAAGTGGGGTCAGGGCAGAGAGAGAGGGAGACATAGAATCTGAAGCAGGCTCTAGGCTCCAAACTGTCAGCACAGAGCCCTATACGGGATTCAGATTCACAAACCGTGAGATCATGACCTGACCGGACGCTTAACCGACTGAGCCACTTAGGTGCCCCCCAAAATGTGAACATTTTTAATACACCACTTTTAAAATTCAAGCAGTGAGTTTAGTATAAAAACTGTTAAAACAAAATAATTAGACTGTCGTAGTGTAGACAACTCTATCTTTCAAAGAAGGATTCAGCTCTTAGACCATTACAGAATGGTTAGAAGATAAATTCTACTTTAATTGAAACTTGGTTTAATTGTGTGTGTAATCATAAACAAGGAATAAAAAAAAATCCTGCTTTGTTAGGTGCTCTTAGACCATTACAGAATGGTTAGAAGATAAATTCTACTTTAATTAAAACTTAGTTTGTGTGTGTAATCATAAACAAGGAATAAAAAAAAAATCATGCTTTGTTATGTGCTCTTAGACCATTACAGAATGGTTAGAAGATAAACTCTACTTTAATTAAAAATTAGTTTGTGTGTGTAATCATAAACAAGGAATAAAAAAAAATCATGCTTTGTTACATGCTAGGCATTGAGTGGCTAGTGGTGTTAACGGCGGACTAAGTCACAGAGTGCCAGGGCACCCAGCTCGGAAATCCACAGGGCTCATGGGGAAGCAAACTGAGAACATTCGAAGCCCTGGCTCTGGCCCTGCCCACCCTCATCCCCAAGGCCCTTCCCTCCCAGGTCAAGGAGGGCATGGTTTCTCAGTGGAGATTTACAATGTTTTCACTAAGTGATAAGATGAGATAAGGATTCATTGTCAAAAGAAAAAAGAGAGAAAGAGAACAGACAAATCTGCACACTTTAGTAAGTGACTTCCAGCAAAACCGAATGACTTCCCTTTACATTTAAACGGGTAGACTTCACCCTGGTTGAGAAAACAAGTCACTCTTCTGAATTTCATCAAGAGTTGCACCGCCCCCTCCCCAGAATGACTATGGTGACAGTTTTTTTGTTAACAGTCACCTGGAAACAGGTCAGTCCATATTTTCCAGACATATTTTCCAGACACCCATCCCCTAAAAAACAACTCCCTGGTTTAAAAAAAAAAAAAAAAAAAAGCCAATTGCGTTTGAAATACCTAATGTCACCTCATCTTCACCAACATCGGAGAAGAGCAAACCACTTACCAGGCTCCAAGTGTATCTGTGTGTGACCATTCATTATCCCATTCGCTATATCTGTGTCCTCCACAGTGAGAACCACTGGAGGCTGGAAGTCAAGCTCCTCCTGAATTTTTTCTAAGCTGCTCTCCATCTGAGCGGAACTTACACAGTTAAAATGCCACTTCACTTTCTGAATGATGCTATCTGCAAAAAGAGAGCAACCCAAGTTGAGCAGTTGCGTCAGGATGGATATTACAGAACAATATGTGCAAAATGAAGTTCACCTTTCTGAGCAAGCTAGTAAGTCAGCCAGATTCTGGGAGTGTCTGGATACACCTAAAGGTCAGATGTTCACTGGGTGTCATTACTGGTCTCATCAATCTCTTCAGTGCATAATACTTAAAATGCGATTGTCCACAGAGAAGGCAACAATGCTTCCCGGAACCTCAGTGATGAGGGAGTCAAGGGATAGGGGCTGGAGTCTTACTCAGCCACTGCTGATAGTACAATCCTGGCCGTTCACAGAATGATGCAAAGCTTAACAGAAAGGGGAGACAGTTATTCTTGAATGAATTACCTCAAAAAAGGTACGGGAGAAAAAAACTTACAAATAAATGTGAATATTTTGTGCAAACTAAAATCACATACTTGAAAGATATCGGTTTTAATTGCTTTGTTTGCCTTAGCATTAATCGATTACCAAGTTTTAATAAGCGCTTGGGGTTTCGTACATATCGGCAAAGCAAAATCACGCACAATGCCAGTATCTAGTATCCACCATTATATTCTACTCTCACTCAGTGATGAGCAAACACGATGCCGGGACAGGGTCTGCTGTGTGATCAAGCACAGCACTTTAGAAGGAAGGCACATGCAGAGCAGCGGGGAGCAGAACACGGTCCACACTGCATATCAACCGCCACAGCTGTGGTCTGCCTGGGGCCGGCGTGCCCTCTTTGTAGGAAGAAGTGGGGTTGAGAGCAGCGGTGGACGAGGCCTCACAGGGAGAACCGGGGAGAACTCTGTCTACATCACAGGTCTGCCTGGCAGAGGCCTGCGTACCAGGGAGCTTGCCAGCACCTTTGGGTGACAACAAAATGCACCAGCCAGTGGACCACGTGAGGGAGTACGAGGGCTACGGCAGTACAGCCAGGAAGCACACGTGCCAACACGCCTGTGCACCTGACCCTTAGTACCGACTGCTGCCAGCCCCTCATTCAAGGGCATCACAGAGACAGCAGCTAGTTTACGTACAGGCCACAGGATGCCCCCCCCCACTCCCACCTCTACTCCTGTTCTCCCAAGAGCTTAGAATGACTTGACTCACAGGAAAAGAGAGGAAAAGAGAGCATAGGCTACAGCTACCATGCTGTGCTCCAAAGCCTCCGAGCCTCTACAAGCCTCTCTGACAATGCCTAAGAGAAAACAATCCTCTTCCAGGGCAGTATTTCTCAGACCTTTGAATAAAGGGGCAGTTTTTATTATTTCCAAATGGTTACAGACTGATTCTTTGATAAAATGCAATAAAAAATACCGCAGGAATGTCAAATCACCATATGAGTTTCTGGACACTTATTCTCACTTTCTGTACCTCCCTCATGATAGAACAAATTCCCACACCACCCTTTGAGTAGCACTGCTCTAGAGCAGGGGTTAGCAAATTTTCTTAAGCTGCCAGGTAGCAAATATTTGAGGCTTCTAGGCCCCATATGGTCTCTGTCACATCTACTCAACTCTGCTGGGTAAGGGCAAAAGCAGCCACAGGTGACCCATGAAAAGAATGAACGTAGCTGGGTTCCACTGTATTTACAAGAAAAAAAGAGGCGGGGCAGCTGGCCCTTGGACCAGTTTGCTGACCCCTGTCCCAGAGGGCTGTGGTGAATAATCGATACAAGTTTCACCACTCCCCAACCTGCCTCAGGCTCTGAAGAGATGAAGAGCCGGCGTTAAACCTTGAAGCTCTCCAGGCCGCTCCTTCACTGAAATCTCTTGGTACAAAACTGATCTCCAGTGACATGTTATAGCCCCTGCAGTGGTTTTCCCTGATGGTCAAAGCCAAATCTAAACCATTAATTCTACACATATGATGCCGTGAGAGAACAGTAAATAAGAAAGAGGGTTACAAACCAAATTCAAGAAAGGCGTATGGCCTGGAGGCTAGGCCAATACAGGTGGTGTCATAGGAAGCTGTGAATTCCCACCACACGGTCTCCAGGAAGCAGAAGGCCATGGCCGCTGGACACTGGCGGGAGCAGATAGCCATGCAAGCCACATCCCCCAACGAAGAGAAACTGAAACAAAAGGGCAGCATCTCCATTACCGGGGAACAGACCCCTGTATTCCCATCCCATATTCAGACACAACGATGCTTCCGCCCTGCTCTTCCTTGGCCTTGAACAGCCCTGGAGCTGTTTGCTGCATGCATACAGTCCCTTCAGCTGGACCTCCCTGGGACTCTCTTGTCCTTCCTCTAAAATAGAGAGCAGTTGGGGCACCTGGGTGGCTCAGTTGGTTGAGCGTCCAACTTCGGCTCAGGTCATGATCTCACGGTTTTTGAGTTCGAGCCCCGTGTCAGGCTCTGTGCTGACAGCTCAGAGCCTGCAGCCTGCTTCAGATTCTGTCCCCTTCTCTCTCTCTGCCCCTCCCCACTTGTGCTCTCTCTCTCAAAAATAAATAAATGTAAAAAAAAAAATTGAAATAGAGAGCAGTTATTTGCCACTGACAATGTGAAATCACTCCTACTAATTTGTGCACGAAGGATGCACGCTTCATGAGGGAGAAGTAGCCTCAGACTTCTCTGCATCTATTGAGGAAAATATTTTTTTTCTTTAATCCACATCAATGGCTTTCTAATGTTAAATCATCCTGCCATCCTGAAATAAAGCCAAGAGGTTATGAGTTTGTACATATGCACATACACACAACTTACTGGATATAGTTTGCTAATGTTTTATTTAGGATTTTTGTGTCTATGCAAAGTAATATCGGCCTGTAATTTTCCTTTCCTGCACTATCTTTATCTGGTTGTGGTATTAGGGTGATTCTGGTTTCATAAAATAAATGCAGGGTTCTCTCCTTTTTCTACCACTTTTCAGAATGTCATGCTACCATTTGAAGTTCTGGGGACTCGAGTTCTCCTGTCTGTGGTGTCTACTGACTCACACTCATTGTAGAGTGTCTCCTCTGCTGTCCTGTAACTTTTGGTGAGAGGGGACCAGTGTGGAGCTTTTTTCTTTTTTTTTTTTTTTTTTTTTGTCCTTCTTTAAGAATCTCTCGAGTGCTGAGTTGTGGCACACTTCTTCCAGAGTGGTTTTATGTGCAGCATTGGTGGTATCGTCCCTTCCAGAGTGGTTTTCCATTTGCTCTGGCCAGCTACTCCAGGAGTGTCATCAGTCTGGAACCAAAACTGAGAGCTGAACCTTGTTTAGGAATTCCTAGACCATGGAGAGTATGAACTCAAACTCCAATCCTACAGTAGGCACAGAAGCTGGGTTTCAATTTCTTAGATGAGATTTTGTGTTTCCTTCCCATTCAAAGCCAGGTAGAGATGAGCTACCCTGTACTGGTGGGTGGCTATTTCTCACCTATTGTCATTCCACCTGGGCTGTGTGTGGCCTCACAAGAATCCCTTCTTCATGCATGGGTCTTCTCACAACACCTCAAGCCCAAAGGCCTCTCCCTTAATGGGTACTGAAACTCAAGCCCTGAGTATACCATGACTGACTTATTACCCAAGAGCCTCAATGTCAGCTCACACACTTACCACACCCTGATACTCTGTTCCCCATCATTTCTGGCACCTTGGGAATTCTTTATTTTAAGCTCAGCTACACATTTAAAATAATTTCTCATATACATTTACTCACATTTCAGAATGTTTCTGGAAAAGAGTTTTACAGTTATATTGTTCTATCATCTTTTCATAATTGCAAGTCTCTATATAAAAACTTTTGTCAATTAAAAAAAAAAAAAAGACAACCTGCTCCTTATACAAGGAATTTTCCAGAAGCCCCTATTTGGGGGCTGACTTTGTCTCCCAAAAAATAGGCCCAAGTCCTAACTCCCAGTACCCGTGAACATGACCTTATTTGGAAACAGTCTTTGCAGATACAATTAAGATGAAATGAGATTATAATGGATTAGGGTAGGCCTCCATCCAATGACTGGTGTGAAATTTGGTTTTAGAGACAGAGGGGAAGAAGGTCATGTAACCAAGAAGGTAGAGATTGGAGTAACTCTTCTAAAAGACATGGAATGACAAAGACTGCCAGCAACCACTAGAAGGTAGTAGAGAGGCATGGGAAGGAGTCTTCCTTAGAACCTCCAAGACAGCACTGCCCTGCAGACACCGTGATTCTAGACTTCCGGGCTCCCGAACTGTGGGAGAATAAATTTCTGTTGTTTTAATTTGTTATGGTAACCGTAGGAACATAACTCAACTCCTTAACTATAAAATAAGCTATAGTACTGCCCACCTGTACAAAAAAAAAAAAAAAAAAAAAAAAAAAAAAAAAAAAAAAACACAAACTTCAGGTTCATCTGTGAAAATAATGGTGAATATTTAATTCAAAATACAAATGAGCAGAACGTTTTATATTCTAGTTTTCAAAAAATGACTGAAGCACCCATAATTTCATTTGATGTCAAAGATGTTTTCTTAACAGAGAAAGGTTTGAGGCGTAGCACCAAGATCCCATAAGGTGTTAGAGAATCAGAGCGTAATGAGGGAGGGACATGAAGGACAGTGGTTTTGGGCACCCAGAGAAAGGAGGCACAAATGCGGACACAGGCAGCTCAGCTTTGGCTCCTGAGCACCCAGAGCCCACACCACAGGGTAACAGCCGCATGTGTTTGCTACCTGGTGCCCCCTTCAGGCAGGCCCCCTCTTGCCCAAGGACACCAGCAAGCCCCAAGTCAAGCCTGGCCTTTTCCTTTTGTTTTTCGGATTCTGAGGCTGAATTCCTCTAAAAGGACCCTACCTCATCAGGTCAACTAAAAATTTAGCATTTAAAGGGAGCAGGAGGAACCTGGCAAATGAGGGCCCAAATAATGGAAAACAATGATGTAAAATCTATGACAAGCCGTTGTGATACTTCAAAACCTGCAAACCCTTGCGCCCTCCTGTAGAATGGCTTCGTGCATCTTAGTCCTAGAATAAGAAATGACAGAACACATGAGGAGCAGCCCTTGGGGCCCAGTTGCCCGTACTCAAATCCAGGCCCTACCACTTACTAACAGGACAACCTCAGCTAAGTCACTTAACCTGTTTCCTCCTCTGTAAAACACGTATGATACTGTCACCCACCTCACAGGCCAATAAAGCACTTAGAACAATGCCTGACATCTAGAAAGCACTCAACAATACTAGCCATTCTTACTAGGATTATTGTAACCACTTGATTCCTACTTCCACTGGAGCATTTTTCCTACTGTATTATATTCAGTTAGGTATTTCTCTTGTTCCCTCCTTAGCCTTTAAGTTCCCTCAGAAAAGGGACCTACCTGTGCTCATTATTCACTCCCCTGCTCCGTTACATAAAAATTTTTTTAATTTAAATTTAAAAACCAAACAGGTGAAAAATTTAAAAAGTAAAAAATTAAAGGCAAGAATTAGAAGTCTTTTATTTTCTTGGCTTTCCTACTCTCATCCTTTTCCCTCCCTGACATTATACCCTAGACTTCTCCCCCTTCCTCAGCTTTTCCACCCCTCCATCTAATGCAGAATAAACTACCAAACTACAGACATGAAAACTGATTGAACCCAGGTCTCCCGACACTCAAGAGCAACCCCACCAACAGAAGGGCAAGAGTGGGAACAGCACACCCCCTTGATCCGATGGCTGTAAATGCACACAACCTCAGACTGCTGTCTGACGGCAGACCTACTCTTAACACACAGTGTGATCGGTCTCATGTTACCCCCAACGTATGGTTAAAAGTAAACCCAAGTTTGCGGATGTTGTGGAAGAGTGAGCATGCTTGCTTACTGTATACTGAAGTCACGTCCTTCTGCAGAACCTCGACCTGGGTACTGGGTCAGTCGCAAGGCTAAAGTCTTGAGCCGTCTCCTGCATTCCAGAAAATCCTGGGTGTGGTAAAAGTCAGTGGAGGCCGAGAGGGGCAGTCCATCCCTCACCCTCACCACACAGGCAAAAAGGATCATAGACATGGTCTGCAGGGGAAGTCATGAGGACACCTGAGGAAAGCAAGGGCACCTTGTTACTGAAGGCAGACGATGGTAAGAGAGACGCCCCCTGCCCTTGAAACGTCCTTTCTGGCTGTTTCACCCTCACCCCACTGTAACTGCAAATGTTGCCTTTATTATTACTTCCCTGGCCTCTACTGCTAGGTCACGGCCTGTCTTCATCCCTTCATTTTCCTTCCTGTCTCTTCTTCACTTATAATCCTCCTTTCCCTTCTCTCTAATGAATCTCTCCCTTTCCAGAAGTCTACCAACTAGGATGAGGGAGAAAGGAATGGAGAAGCAAGGAAGCAGCGCCAGAAAGGCTCAGGAGCAGCAGCAATGACAGTGGGTAGTAGGACACAGGTAGCAAGATGGCCCTGAAGGGACAGGAACCACCAGACACTGAAGCAGCAGGGATGGGGCCCAGTGACCTATGCGTTTCAGGTCACCCAGGCAGGTAGGTGCTGAGCAGTTTTGTTGTCTTTTTTTTTTTTTTTTTTTTTTTTTTTTTTTTTTTTTTTTTTTTTTTTTTTTTTTTTTTTTTTTTTTTTTTTTTTTTTTTATTTTTATTTTTATTTATTTTTATTTTTTTTCAACGTTTATTTATTTTTGGGACAGAGAGTGACAGAGCATGAACGGGGGAGGGGCAGAGAGAGAGGGAGACACAGAATCGGAAACAGGCTCCAGGCTCCGAGCCATCAGCCCAGAGCCTGACGTGGGGCTCGAACTCACGGACCGCGAGATCGTGACCTGGCTGAAGTCGGACGCTTAACCGACTGCGCCACCCAGGCGCCCCCAGTTTTGTTGTCTTATCCTCACCTGCAGTAGAGGGATTCTGAGCATCCAACCTGAAGTTGGTGGCAAGAACAGAAGGTAAAAATGGAACCGAGGGAGTATAGCATGTCCTCCTGAATTTCTCCAAGTGTTTGATCCCAAGCCAGTCTTCGAAATGATGACTGAGTCCCTACAGATGGCTAAAGGAAGTCATTTAGCAAATTATACTACAGTAAGTTACTCAATATTTGGCCATGAAATGTGGGCACTATTAAGCAACAAAAGGAATCAGATCTTGAGCCCTCATGATGCCTTTGGCAAATCAGACCAAAACGCTTCTCAGGGTGAAAAGAGAGCCTGGCAGAGCTCTCTGGCTGGGTTTTGGCCCCATCTGCTAACGCTGCAGGTGCTTGCACAGGCCATAACCTACACACGTAGGCCGTGGCAGCCCGCAACCAGGAGTTAGTGAGGTGGCCAGCGTAGCTTTAGTGGGTCTTTCCATGCACCCACACATCCCGTTTCACAGATTTTGTTCGTGAGGTCCTCTACTTGATAGGATGGTAATAGGTACACACATTGGTGGGCTTTTCTTTCAAAGAACTCCAAATACGTCACCTTATTTGGCCTCTCAACTCCTACAAGCAGTAGGAAAGGGGAACCCCCATGATGCACACTACTCTCTTCACCTCTGTGCCTCTACGCATTCTTTTCCTCTGTCTGTTCCTCCTCTGATCTCCCCATACCCAAATCCGCAGCCACCCTTTCCATGACCCCTTCCCAGGCTTGTCTGGCTGGAGGTCTTCCACCTCCTCCAAATTCTCAGAGATCCTATCTCCTTGTTCTCTATTTTACTAATTTTTCATTTCCATTACCTAAGTGTAGGTTCTAAGAATAAACACCCTATCTGGAATGCATAAATGAATAATTCTTCCCATTTTACCCATGAAGAGACTGCAGTGGTATAAAAACAAGAGAAAGCAAAAAGAAAACTTGGTCTATTAGCCAACAGATCCTACAAAGTCCGTTTGTCCCATCTCCCCACACTCTCCATTCAAGAGTAAACATGTGAAAAGCCCCAGGAAAAATACCTCCACACACAAAATTGCTACGTTCCCAGCACCAGTGGCAGGCCCTGCCAACTGCCAGAAGGCCATGTGGGCCGCACCCCAGCTGCTTGGCCAACGCTGAGGCCTCTGGTACCAAAGAGGTCATCAGGGATTGGGTGTGTTGCGACTAATCTCATGACCTTCTTATACTTTCGTGAATGCTTGAAATACTTTAGAAATAATTTTTTTTCATGTTTATTTATTTTTGAGACAGAGAGAGACAG